CATCATCAGCAAAGTCAAGGTCTGTAACCTTGCCATCGCCCAGAGATGTGCCACTGAGACTTTGGACAGTAGCTTCAGTATCCAGTCTGTGCAAGTGTTGAAAAGTGTTGGTGCAGGAACACAGCCTTGCCTCACTCCTGAACTAACAGGGAAGAAGCTCGACAGGCCCCCTCCTCTTTCTGACACTGTATACTGGTACTTTCAGTACCAGTATACAGGCTTGCTATTAATCCAATAATCCTTGTTGGAATTCTTCTTAGTATCAGGATCTCCCAGAGTGATTCATGATGCACAGTATTAAACGCTTTCTTGAGTTCAGTGTAAGCTTGCAAGCAGCCCGAACTCATGTTGGTGCTCTACAATGATTCAAATATGGTCTATAGTGGACTTACCAGGAGTGAATCCAGATTTCTCCAGATTCTGGTGCCTCAGCAGGTGGTCTCTGATACGTGAAGATGTGAGCGAGAACCTTGCCTGGTATACTGAGTAGTGTAATGCCTCAGTGATTGCTGTAGTCCCACTGATCCCCTTTCCCCTTTTAGTGAGGGATGACCATGCCCCTCAGCAGGTCTAGGGGAATGGTACCAGTCTGCCAGATAGTAGACAGGACAGTATGCATGCCCCTTGCCATAGGTTCTCCACCAGCCTTTAACAGTTTAGCTAAGATGCTGCAGATACCCGCTGCTTTATCACCCTTCAGCTTGGAGATCACCCCTCTGACTTCAGTCACAGAGTGTGAATCCTCGCTGGCAAAGGAATCTCGACACTACCCGCATCCAAGTTAATTTTTGGTTGTTCAGCCTGGTACAACTGCTCAAAATACTCAGCCTAATGCATGAGATCATGAAGAAGGCTTGGAGTTCAGCTTTCTCAGGGCCTGGTAGGCAGGATGAAGGTCATGGCTTTTGACCTCCTCTGCAAGATTGCAGATAAACTATTCCTTGTCCCTTCTCAGCAGTGACCTAGTCTTGCACACTGGGGAGCAATGCAAGTCGCAATCCCCTGACAGTCAAGCCATGTGACAAGCATCTGTGGCTTCCAGTGTCTCCTGTGAGATGAAATTCTGTCTTGCTCTTGGGCTGCATCAAGCGTTTCATGCTTGAAGGATGAACAGGGTCCATCAAGCCCTGAGTCATGTGAACACACCCCCTCCCTCAATCTGTCCACATGAAACACCCTAAAGTGCTTATTGGGGTGATAGGGGTTCTGAAGTGGACCCGGAGAGTAGCCACAAATAATCTATGATCATTTCCACATTACTCAGTGCTCTGATACACCCTACAGTTCTGTAGGCAAATCCAGCGAATGCTAACAAGGATCTCCTTGGCCACATTACCCATATCTCTGTACCCTGATACCAGGAAATCCTCAATTTCCCGTTAAAGCAGGCTATTCTCACTGCCAGCATCAGCTACTGAGCCATGAGGTCTTACACACATCTCATAGCCAACTTGGTCGCAGCCAGATACCGCATTGAAGTCACCCAGAACAATATGAATATCTTGCTGAGGACAGCTGTTTGTCGCAGATGCAAGTTTGGTGAAAAACATATCTTTCACATCAGTAGAAGTGTACACAACAATAAGAGACATGAAGCCAAATGTAAGCAGTCTCAATACCATTATACCCTCATCGGATGGAGTGACCTCTACTACCGTGGCTTGAGGTCTTGTGGAGATGGCTAAGGCTACTTCCTGGAGATGATGACCATTGCTGCGCCTGACCAATAATACTTCAATGTATTCATTCATGTCAGCCATGTCTGCTGCCTTATCCACGTTTTGAAATCTCTTCAACTTTGCTCACTATAATATATCTCTAGTCTTCTCTTAATCTTTGCATGTATTTGACTATGTGTCTGTGATTATATCACTTTGTATTTATATGTCTCATCTTAATTTCTAATTTCTAATATTTAGTCAGTTTTATTAACATTATGAAAATACATGTTTTGATATTAAACAAGTTCCTACAAGTTTACTTTTCCAACCAATTACAGGGCCATGGATGGGCAGAAGACCGGAGAGTTAGGGCCAAGGGAATTCATTCTTGGACTAACAGCAATGGATCCCATGACCAGCCATGGAAAAGGACCTGCAGAAATACGATGTCGTTATATATTCAAGTAATTCTTTTGATAGTTATCAGTTTTGATTATATATATATATATATATATATATATATATATATATATATATATATATATATATATATATATATATATATATATATATATATGTATTATATATATGTATTATATATATGTATTATATATATGTATTATATATATGTATTATATATATGTATTATATATATGTATTATATATATATATATATATATATATATATATATATATATATATATATATATATATATATATATATATATATATATATATATATATATATATGTATTATATATATGTATTATATATATGTATTATATATATGTATTATATATATGTATTATATATATGTATTATATATATGTATTATATAT